ATATGTGTAAAATGACGTAAGGTAAGGACTCACGGAAAAGATGTTTTATGGTTTGAAGAAATGGGCATGCAACAGAACTACATCATGAAGAGAACATGTGTACCTCAAAGGAACTGGAGAATGCGGGATGGTCCAGAGTGGGGAAAATATGCTGAAAGATAAAAGCAAAACAAACTGCCTGGTGTTTACAAAAAGATGAAAGTCCTCTGGATGTTCAGTTTAAACAGCTATCTGGTAGACAGCTGAGACTTCATGTGCCAGAAAGCAGTGCTTCTCCAAAGAAGTCTTAGACCTGGAAACGAAAGTTATCTAAGTGCTCATTGGCAGACTTGAGTTGCAGCTGGATCTTAGCAGACTGGGAAATGAGTTGTGAGTTAAGAAAATGGAATACTGATCAGTCAGCAAAAGTCCAGTACATCATAAACCGTGGACCAGAATCACTGTTTGAGCCAAAGGAATAGTCATTCTCCTTTTTTATTTTAATGATTCTGTTAATGATTTGATACCAAGGGATTGTAAGATATAGGGAAGCATTTTGCAAATGACCTTATTCAGCTTGCCAGGTGCACATATTTAGGATCTGCTGTCTCCTTCCAGATATGTTCACTTAAACACGTGTTTTAGGGACGAGAGCAACTAAGGATGGCCAAGTGATTATGCAGTGCGTACTGTGTGAAGCAACTTCTCCAATGATTCTTCAGCTGTTTGATCAACTACCTTTTGCATTTGGGAAATCAAGCTGTGAAAGGGAGTTATAAAAGCAGTGATACTCACCCTTTCTTGCTGGATATGTGGCATATCTTGTTGGAACATTGAACTACAGCCAGCACGTTCACTGTGGCAGCTAGGATGTTATGCAAACTTACTGTTGATCAAAGTAGAGCGTGCATCCATAGAGCAAAAGGAGCTAAACAAACGTTGCATAAAATTTATTATTGATGAGTGAAAAACACTGCATTCATGAGAATATAATTTTCAGTATACGTACACCATGATAAACCTCAACCTTTCCTGTTATCTTCTAGAAAAAATAGAAGTTGAAGATTCAAATCTTTGAATAATGAGGTCAGTGCTACCTGCCATTCGACAAGGAAAATAGATCATTGCGGGTTCTTTGGATAGATGTTGTGATAGAGTCATGATGTTTCTCAATAAAAGTATGATGCACTCATGTCATACTCACACAGTGCCTTCAGTCTGCTCAGGAATGTAGGAAGACTGGAAACCTCACAGAGAATGGTGACAACGATGACCAATAACAAATGGCTTCAGTAGTAGGAAGGACGTCTGTGTAAGCAGTCAATGAGGTGAACACAGGAAAACTCTGAAAGAAGCTGAACTTCAGGAAAGTAAAGGAGAGCAGAACACCTAGATGACCTTTGAGGTCCCTTCCAACTCTAACCATTCTATGATTCTATGATTCTAAAGTAAAGGAGAGTGCAACACCTAAGCTGAAAATTCTCATCATCTGTCTTATGTAATGCCATGAAAGAAAGCCCAGAGTATGGCTGATATTGAAAATCTTTAAGACGAGGAAGAAGAGTGAAGAAAAGTGAAACAGAGCCTGATCGTGAGGATGATGCCATGAATATACTTTTGAGAGACAGAGGAAATGAAGGAAAGGTTTTAAGGAGCAATGGTTTAACTGCATTAGATTTAACAGAAAGTCCACTCAATCTTCATGCCATATTCACTCTCTTCCACTGATTTCTATGTTAACTCCAAATATTTTCACTGCTTAGAAGACTATACTATCTATAAGGTTATTATCAAACAGTAAACAGTACTGTGAGAGCAAGTTCTGAAGTCACTTCTCGAAGTGGGAATGGCTTCAGTTAATTCAGTGTGTCAGAAACCTTCCCTGGCATCTCCTCCTGACAGTTTTGGATTGAGAAAATTTATTTGGCAGGCTTCCACATTTCATACTGTACACATTTCAGAGTTATTTAATTGGGGGTGACACAGTTAGTGTGATGATACTCATACTTTCCATTTAGCAAATGCATCCACAGCTGTCTTCTCCTACTTCCACTTGCATAAACTGCACTCATTTGGGAAGGAGTGGTATTTGGGTGGAAATACTTCTGTCACATCAAAGTAACTGAGAAATATTTACCTTATTATCTCACATTGCCGATAGTATAAGGGACTAAATAGCAAGAAAGAAGCAACATGAAGGCAGTATAAATGATACACGCTCAGACAATGTATTTAGACTCAAAAACTTTCTGTCAGAAGTCGTCAACCAGTAGAAAAGAGTACCAGCAGCATCTTGCTGTTACTCCACTAAAGAGGCATAATTTTTCATCACTCTCTTGTGGTTTCTCTGCATTCACATTATTTTCTCATTTTCCTGTCTTAATGTTCATTGGACAGTATACATACTATATTTTATTTAAAGACATTATGCTCAAATGGTTTTGTGGGACTGAAAAGCCACAATACTAAAAGTAAAATTCCAGGGCACTACTTGTTTCTTATTTTATTGAAACATACTCTTCTAAATGAGATCCATACTTTTAAGGATTTTAACAAATAATCAATCCAATAAATTAATTTACTCCACTGTAGTAAGTCAGTGGCAATCGCCAGCTTTTGATCTTAATACCCAGTTTCAGATGACTGGATTTACAAGCTCAGTAGTGCCAAGGACTGTTGCAAACTCCAAACAAGAACGTATGTTTTTCATTAATCAAAGATTGTGCTTACAGACAGAAAGGTATGAGTTTGAAAACAGACTTAAAAGTGATACATGAGTGTCAGTCAAGAACGTGAGTCACCTGAGTGTAGTTTTGCAGATGATTTGATGCTTCAGAAATCGAATGAATGACAGTTTATTCTGTTACAGTAGAAACTAAGGGTGCCTGTAAAGAACAAGAAGTTATTCTTTGCAAATACAGAATAAAGATTTTTCCTTCTCCTGTTTTGTGGCTAACAAGTATGCAATGAAATGGGAGCTCTCTCCTTGTCCACTGATACTGGCTCCAGTGCACATAGCAATATATCTCTTGGTCCGTATACTCTGCGGTGGTAAGTCTGTAGATGCAATCAGCTATAACAGGGTTCTGCCTGTTACTTTTATAGGAGATTTGCATCAAGGAAAACTTCTAAGTCATAATCTGCCTGAAAAATCTATGTTAAGTTCAGTAAAGGCCTATATTTTCTAACATTTCCTTTTTATTCTTTTTTTTTTTTCAAAAATACTAGATTTAATTTTCCTAATTTTTTATTTAATCCCTCTCAGTTCCTTTCACTTCTCTTTGACTGTCATTTCAAACAAAATATCAAATACAAAGGAGCATGCAGTTGCTATGATCATAGTTTACTTATTAACATCACAAATTGTACTGAGTATGTCAGAGAAGACACAGAAATTCACTGAACTTGAAAAGCTTACAGTCAAATTATTAAGACTGGTAAAAGAAGAATTCCAACAACACATCAAGGCAGAGACTGAAGGTTTATAGGAGTGAGAGGCACTGTCTGGTTGGGTACCCAAGCTCCTGATTTTGGGCTTTTGAAGTGGTTTAATTAAAAGCAATACAATGCTCATTTTGACAGAGAGAGAAATTTTTCTCTAGGTTGATTTCTTCTAAAATGTGTGTACTTGATGCAGCTGTCTATGTAGCTGTAGCTGTAGTTTTTACCTTACCTTCTTGCTTTGAAGGTGTGGATTCCAAGCGTTACCTCACTTTAGTACAGGCATGCTATATTCCTTTTTCCTAGACCTCACCACAGTCCAGCACCAGAAGGGCTGGTGAACACAAGATGCCAAAAGCCAAGGGTGAAGAAATAATGGGAGTCAGACTTAGGATCTACTGAGTTATATACTTCAATTTTCTAGATTGGTCACGATTTGATCATAACTTTGTTTATGCAAGTGCATTTCTATGAAATAACATATGAAATAAAATAATACTGCTGTTCTATCTCAGAAGACTGTCACAAGAATTAGACTGAAAGAATTCAGTTCCTTCAGTGGTAAGGTCTGCATCAATACCCAAGACAGACAGATGCTTGTGAGAGGCCCTTTTAGTGCTCGATTGAAGTGGACATATCACCTGTGCAACAATATTCTCTTCCCCTAATTCAGAGAGAAAATATTAAAAGTCAAGGCAAGAGTCAAGCGAGGGTCAAAACTGTGTATGGGACTCACGTTTTCCTTTGGGCTTCCAGTTGTGAATCCACATGACAATTTAGGACAATGCTTGATTGCACCCAATCGCATCTAATGTCCCGTCCAGCTAAGAAACCTGTCTTCAGCTGAGATTTTGGAAAGAGGGAACTTTTGACAATGAGGCTTTCAAAGGCTTTTGCCAGCCAGACTGGAACTGGTGGCCATGCAGAGGTGTGCTGGACATAACACACCCAGTGAGGCAGAAAACAGACAATAGGTTTGATAGTGTAGAGCTTGATGTGTTCTGGCAGGAGGTACACAACGCCCACCGCTGAGTTGATTTGTCTGACTTGATAAGTGTTTCTTTGTGCTGCCTATTGAGTGAAGTCAGAAATCACCATTATATTTGTTTTCTTTGCAGGTGAATTTTATACTTTTCATTAGTATTATAAGAATCTTACTGCAGAAGTTAAGATCTCCAGATGTTGGAGGAAATGACCAGTCACAGTACAAGTGAGTCATATTTTTAGATATTATATACAGAACTAAGATAATCTCTGTATGATTTCCTCTGCTGAAACCTGCTACCAACAGTTGCTGTGATACTATAATTACATTTAAATTAGAAGTACTTTTAGATGTGGTTTAATAGAGATCTTATGCTGAAAAAGAGATGAACATAATTTTTTGTCAAACACTAAATTAAATATAAAATACAGTTTCATAAAGACTAACAAACTATTCCTGAATTTGAGTTTAATCCATGAATGAATATGCTGATACAAAAAAATAGAGTAATATCTTTCTTTTAATGTATACATATTTTATTTTGACATAACAAAAGTTTCAAGATCAAATCACTTTGCTACAACCTTCTTAAAAACATTTTAAAAAAAAATTTCATTTCTAAATAATTTCTGTTGTAACTTTTACATGTATTTTAACAGCTAGAAAGAAGGTATATTGTTCCCCAAAAGTAAAAAATGAAATACAATGTTTTGTGTTGACTTAAAATAACATCTTTATTTTTCTAGAGGAAGTGTTTCTGATTTAGATCAACTTCATTTCTGTTTAGGCTTTCTTCTTCTGTGTTTTGGTTTGAACATCAGATCCTAACATCCCTTGTTTCCACAGCTTTAGAATCAAGGAATGTTGAGGGGCAATTTAAATACATTGCTAAAATTAGATTTGTTCTTTATTATATTGCCATATCAATTGTTGTTTATTATTATAGCTGCTGGATACTGGAATCCAGAATCAAGAGTCTGTTGTAGTAGGTCTTATTTTAAAGCTCAGCTGTAGACACTGAGTTTGACACTTTGGAATGTTAATAAGATATTTCAATGACAAAATCTAACAAGGATACTGAAAATTCAAAACCATGCAAGTGGCCTTTGAAAATGTGCTCCTGAATAACGCCTTTTCTTCACTTAAAAAATACTGAATTCCTGTACTAAAACCAGATAAAACACAGTGTGCTAAACTAAAGCATATCTTTAAAGCCAAGAGAACGAGGACCTTATATATTGTGTAAAAACATGACACATTAGATGCAAAAAGTGAAGAATTTTGATGCACCACAGAAAAGGCGACACAACTAGATTGACATAAAGCTTTTCTTCAAGGGTCCTTTTCTGTGTGTGTTTGCTGCTTGAATTAATTAAAAGTGGGAGAACCAAATCAACCTAGATGAAATAATGCAGTTGCCAGATTATTATTTCGCACAATGACTGACCTATGGGCAGGAAATCCCTCAAGTTTATTTCATGTGACAGGAACTTTTCTTTGTTTCTGTGTAGTATTTATGTATTTTATGAAAACAAGGCATTCCCTTCCTATCAGTCCGATCATTTTCCACAGTTTACTGCAATGCTTCATAGTATAAAACGTTCATTAATAGCAGCCTTGTCCTTCATTGTTCAGCCCTGTGAATTCTTTGCTTTTAGTATTTGGTTGCCTGATTAAATTTGGATTGGATGTGTTTAGCCAAGACCCATGGGAACAGTAGATTAACCTCCTCAAGAAATACTGTATCTACAGAGCAAATTAAAGGTCTGGAAGGCTCGTTTTTCAAAATGCAAATGCATTTTCTAAAATACAGAGAAGAATAAGGCTATTTTGTCTGTTCCTTTCCGTCACTAAAATGTAAGGGCAGTATAGAGAAAGTAACATCAGCTAGACAAAAATTACTAAAACAAGAATGTAGTGCAAGTGAAATATGAGTCTAAAATTAATACTACCCATCCAAATCACCATTTTTGTTCCCTTCCTCTGTCTCACCTGCTTGTACCTGGTTCTATCCTTTTTGCTGCTCATTTTAGTTTTGCAGTGGGTAAGGTTAAGTTCAAATAAAAATCAATTCTCCATTTCACTTGGAAAACCAGGAAATTTGCTACCATTGTCATCTCCTCCAGTTGTAAATGAATTTCTTCTGCTAAGAAAATCCTATTTGTCCTGCTTTAGATATGAGGGTTTTACTATTCTTGAGAAACTTTGCTGTCAGAACTGATTGTTTCCACATAAACAGATGCAGCCTCTGGGACATTAGGAGCAAAGGAAAGGCATGAAGACTGACATAGAAAAAACAAAACTGCTTGAAATACCTTGACTTTTCTGTTAAAATAGGTGAATTCACAACAAAATCCTTTCATTGTTGAATCAAGTTATATTCACCAAGACAGTGATGAATTATGGGACCCAACATTATAACTTCTTGAATTTTGTCTGATACCAGACTTCCATTATCATGCATGACCGGCTCTGTATAATATATAAGACTGATGTTATTAGAGTGAAATAAGTGACAGATATGGGATAATTAGCAATTCATCATTTCAGTAGTTTCACAGCAGTTTGTCAGAGCAGCTCTGCTTAGTAATTTAAAGTTCTCCTTCCTTAATTTCAGTAGTGTCTTGTGCTAAAATGTATTATGTGATTGATGACATTAAAAAGTAGTTAATGGTATATGCTTAATACCATCAGTATAGCTATGAGATTTTAGCATTTGCGGGTAAATCTGAACTTACTCATGAAAATCTCACAGCCGTAATTATTCTGAATTACATTTCCTAGGTACTATTTGCATACTGTGTATGTGCAATGTACAGACTAACCATGCAGTTGCACATTTAAAGGAAATTAACATCAATTAATTGAAAGACAGAGATTTTACCTTCCATACACGAGGCTCTGTCAGTATGACTTTGCAGGAAGGCATTATTCCTTTCCACTGTGAACCCTTTCAGAAAATACTCTGAGAGATCTGATGGCAGCTTGTGACACTTTGTCAAAGGTGAAAACTGTGCCAGGGAAGCAGGCTGAGAGCTGAGTGTGTGGCAAAGAGACACAGCAGAGGACAGATCCTCCACCCTGCTGCTGTCCAGAGGTCAACTGAAAAAGAGTCTTTTGGTCTAGAGAGGCCCTGCAGCCTTTTCCCTGGTTTTGGAAGAGTGCAAGGTCAGCATGCTCAAGTATAACATGGAATTGCACACTTTAATTTGTGGGGTTACTACGTGGCTAATCTCATAGCAAGCCTGAAAGGAAAACAATTTGTAGTAAATGACTCTTAGTAAGACTGTTTATAAATCTGATGTCTTGCAAGGTTTATGTAAACAACTTCGCATCAGGTTCTTGTCTTAGTAAAACAAGAGCTTATCATTAAACTCCAGCTTTTTCTCTTTTATTTACCCAGGAGACTTGCAAAATCCACGTTGTTGCTTATTCCGTTATTTGGAGTTCATTACACAGTGTTTGCTCTATTTCCTGACCGCAGTTCCAATAATTATAAAATAATCTTTGAGTTGTGTTTGGGATCTTTTCAGGTAAATTTTAAAGTTTTATTCAGAAGAAGTTTTATCGGCCTAGGTTTGTGCTGCCTGCTAACTAAGGAATATTGTCTCTTTCCAGGGGTTGATTGTTGCAGTCCTGTATTGTTTTTTGAACAGTGAAGTAAGTCTCATCTTTTCTACTGAGAATGTTAAATATTGTTTTCAGTAAATGTGTAAGTGCCTCTATAATTCCACTCTGATACGTGAAACTGTTTTAGAAGATGTTTGTGTTCTATTTATAGAATATATATGTGGCGGTTCCTATGCAACAGGAGAAATTCATGTATTTGGGTGAAGATTTAAGAACAGTTTGAAATCCAATTCTTTGCAAACTGAGATGTTAGTGTGTCTACTGTTGTTTAACGTGATCTAATTCTAGCTCTGTTACAAGCAATGTGGATTGTGCAAGTGAGGTGCAACAAGTCTAGAAATTTATCCAAAACTTGAAACACCGTTTAGTAAGTGTTTAGGGGTAATCTTCTGATAGAATCTAACCTCCAGAACAGCAGCAGATTTTCAGAAGTGATGTCAGCTACTTTTTAAGGTAGAATATACATTAAACAGCATGCAGTTTCTGACAGGAGGAATCTGTCTAAAGAAGACAGTTGCTTGCAGAGGGACTTGACATTCAGGTCTCCTGAATGCTATTCTGGTCTTTTCTATTCATGAGATGCCTGATTTGGGGCTAATCATTTGATTCTATGCTTTAGGTACATGTGATTAATAGCTAGATACCAAAAGCTAATGTTATAGCACAAGCATTACAAAACTGACTTTGAAAGTGGCCTTGGGGCATCTCCTCACAGACAGTGTAGACACAGTCTTCACCTCTGTTTTATAATCTTTGTAAAAACTGATTTGATACTCTAGAGGGAAGGTATGCCATCAAGAGGGACTTTGACAGGCTTATGGAGTGGGCCTATGCAAACCTCTTGAAGTTCAACAAGGCCAAGTGCAAGGTCCTGCATCTGGGTTGGGACAATCCCCGGTATCAATACAAACTTGGAGATGAATGAACTGAGAGCAGTCCAGCAGAGAAGGATGTAGGAATACTGGGGGATGAAAAATTGGACATGAGCTGGCAATGTGTGCTTGCAGCTGAGAAAGCCAGTTGTATCCTGCATCAAGAGAAATGTGGCCAGCTGGTCGTGGGAGGTGATTGTCCTCAGTACAAGAATGACATGGACCTGTTAGAGTGAGTCCAAATGAGGGCCACAAAAATTATTAGAGGGCTGGAACACGTTTCCTATGAAGACAGACTGAGAGAGTTGGGATCGTTCAGCCTGGAGAAGAGAAGACCCCAGGGAGACCGTATTGCAGTCTCTCAGTGTAAAAAGGGTGGATTATAAGCCCAATGGAGAAAGACTTTTTAGCAGGGCTTGTAGTGACAGAACAGGGGGTAACAGTTTTAAACTGAAAGAGAGTAAATTTAGATTACATGTAAGGAAGAATTTTTTTTCTGTGAGGGTTGTGGAGACAGCGGAACAGGTTGACCAGTGAAGTTATTGATATTCCATCACTGGAAGTGTTCAAGATCAGGTTAAATGGGGCTTTGAGCAACCTGATTGAGTGAAAGATGTTCCTGCCTATGGCCGAGGGGTTGGACTAGATGATCTTTAAAACTCTCTACCAACCCAAACCATTCTAGGATTCTATTCCTAGAGGTCCCTATTTGGTAGCCCATAACCATGGGAAAGTTCCTCACATAAAAGAAAATTTTCAGTTCATCTTGTGCGTTTTCTTTTTAACACAGGTGCAAGGGGAGCTGAAAAGAAAATGGCGGAGTTTGTGCTGGAAGCAGACAGCAGGCAGAGACTATAGACTCCACAGCTCTTCAATTTCTCGAAATGGATCAGAAAGCATTTCTCAGCTCCACCGGAATTCAAGGGCTCAGTCATTTATGCAGACAGAGACCACCATGATATAAATCAGCTAGGTCCCCCAAAACATGAAAAACTGTGGGATATATCATTCATTATGCAGCTTGATGTGATATTTTATAAGAAGTACAGTTTAGTTCTTTGCTTTTCTACATGTTGGTATTTGAGAAATTGGTTTGTGCAACCAACCAGTTAATAACAGAGACACCTGGCCCATGGATACTTTCTGTTTGGTTGTGGTTTTTTTTCAAATGATATTCATATTAATTCTGATGTTCTCTTGCTGTTTACTAGCTGTAACTATTCAAAAACTCATATACTATAATGGTCCCTTTACCCTCCAACATGTCTGCAAGATAGATGTATGGTATACTGTTCAATGTAGACTTCTTTGGTGCACGTTGAAAAGGTTAAGATGGGAAGTGAGAAAAATTCTTACACTTTATTTATACTTAAGGAAACATTTCTTTCCTTAAGGATTAGGAAATTCTTTCCTAATTATGGAAAACAAAATAAAAATAAAGAAATGTAAGACTATAATTAACCGCACTGGGACTTTAGTGTGCTAATCCAGGAAATCATTAACATTATTTATACAGAGGGAAAAAAGGTAGTACTTCTTGGCTAATTGTATAAATTTCAGAGATTACTTGCTACAGAGTTTGATTTGAATCCTGTCGTTCCTTTAAAAAGTGTCTGGTTTTATGTCTAGGTGCAGAAAATAGGGCTACATTTGCAGTCCATACAGAAAAGTCTGCTGTAATAGTTTTGATTAAAACATCAGCATTTTTCAATAGTGCTATTGCAATCACTAGTTATTATTTTCTGTTTAAAATCAAAGATATTTGTGTTGACCTTTTATTAAACCATTTTCTGAATAGGTTCTTTATTGCTAGAGCTGTATAGCATGGGATAAACAGCCTTGGATAGCATATTACTTATTGAAAATATCATTTTTATACAATATTTTAATTGAAATATGTCTCCAGAACTACATACTTAGCAGCTAAAAAAAAGGAATATTGCAATAAAGCTACAACTCCTATTTAAGGAATAATGTAAATTCTTTTAGCTCAATTCTATTCTGTATCTGCCTGAGCTGATTTAAAATTTAGTCCTGACCATAACTCCAGCAAAAAAAAAAAAAAGACAGAATCCCTAAAAGTTTACCATAAAAGGCATAAATAGAAAGAATTCTCAACAATGTCAAACCTCTTGCATAGCTACTTTGTAAAAAAAAAAAAAGATGTAGAACTGACATTCTTATAAATATACACAGAACATTTGCACTCTTTAAAAGAAATAAACCCAATGATGTTTACTTCCCATGTCACATTTAACCATGTCCACTATAAACAGCAAGTGGAAATAACATATATTTGCATCAGTACCTCTGATCCGTAAAAGCAATTGCCCTGATATTTCAGATAACAGATTGTACAGAGCTACCAGAATCCAAAGTCCATAATATTGCCAGGTGAAGGGAAGAACAGCAGGAAGGGCATGTCTTGGCAGGCATACATGTACATTCTCGAAAATGTTACCAGTACTGGGAATATTGTTGGCAGCCATCAAAGTGTCCATACACCTCTTGGTCTGATTTAGTTTAGCTAGTTATCAGTCAAACACAATTTATTTTGATGAGATTACCTTGGAGTGATAGAAAGTTGTGTCAGACCAAAGGCAGAAAAGGCCCCATGGTTCACAAGAGTGCTGCAGGACAGCTAACTCTGTTACCTGACACCAACCCTTACATGATAGATATCATTTGAGTTAAACAATAATCACATGATGAATTGTTACTTTGCCAAACTTGACTTCAAAGAAGGTACCGATCATCTCCAGTCATTCAGAGTGTTTTCAGCTGTCGCTTAGTGCAGTAACTATGAGATTCTGGAGTGAAGTGCCCAATGAGAGTCCCATGGGATCTAAAGATATGCCCCTACACATGTAGTTAAACTAAATATATTCCCCAAAGCTTTAGACTCAGAAACCACTGCCAAACTTCAGTATTTTTCCTGGATCACTGAACAACCTTATCAACAAACTCAACTGCAAATATATGAAGACACATTGGAGCTTTGAGGGCTGCTCCTAGACCTGAATTAAATACATCTGTGCACTTTAGGCTTCTTTCCCTGAAGTGGCATTTGGACTGCTCATCTCCCTGAGATGTGACATGCAGGATGTACTTATTTCCCCACATTTCTAGGCTAGAAAGGCACACTTGACAAGCATTCAAGCGTACTCATCTTTATGTTCAAAGAAGGTCCTTTGAGTGAGTTGCCACATAGACAGAATGTTGGTATAGCAATAGAGATTTCAAGCGATTAGTTCCATCAGTCTGTTCTGCATGATGCATCACCAATTACACGTTTTTAGAATTCATTGTGTCCTAGAGAAAACTATCTTTGTTCTAATTAGGTGAGCATGGAGAAAATCTACATTTTAATGATTTCTGGATTATAAAACAGACAAGCTTAAATAAGAAAATATATCTTATGTTGCAACAAAACAGCACAGATTCCCTTAACAGGGCACAGATGAATTTGGACTCGATTCTACTTTTCATGTAGGGAGTAATGCCATATGAGACAATGAAGTTGCACCAGTGGGAGAACATAGATGGTATCACTGAGTTTGTAAAGGACTAAGTGGGCATGCGAAGAATAGCACACAAGGGAGAGAGGTGCTGCATATATTTTTCTTTCAAACCAGTGAAAATTGTAGTACTTTGTAAAAGCCATACAATCTTAAGTATAGAAAATATGTTTCTGACAGACAGTTTAACTTCATAATGCTTTGTGCAAGCATTTTCGTATCAGTAAAGGCCCAGAGGGCACTGTGCTCACTTGTTTTTACTCCCAGAAAATTCTGATTTCCAAATAATTTTATGCAAAGTTACAGCATCAGCCCCATCATCACCTATTTATTTGACTTTCAGCTGCCTTTTCACACACAGATACATATCATATTAAAATGTATGTAAAAGCTGCAAAACAGTTTGACAAGCCTAGTACCTGATCAATGTTTTGCATCTTTACGACACCCAGAAAACAGATTCTCATGGCTTTGTCTTTTGTTGCATTTTGCACAGGGGTGTGGAGATACACACTCCTGCTCTGTGCTGTGGTGACTCTAAGAGTCAAAAGGACAATGCAAGAAAACATCATTTGGCCTTCTATCATCCCTAAACCTAGTTCTTGCTCAGTCCTAGCAGCATCAGGGGAGCAGGTAGAGGCAGCAAGACAAGCAGATGCTTTCTGGGCGTGACCTTGTCACATAGTGCTCCTCCCTTTCTTTATTCCTGTACTGCCTTTCTCTCTTTGGTTGCATCAAAGTCCCAAATGAGTTGTCTTCAGAGCACAAAACCTGATTTTTTTGTCCCCAATGAAAAGCCAGGAGCACATCATGTAAAGTTACTGAACAAGAACAATAATACAATTCACTCTCGTACTGCAGTTGATTGTTGTACTTTACTTTCCTTGGAGCTACCAGGGCAGCACCATTCATTCTGAGTGATTTTTATGAGCTTTACCTCCTGCTGATGCCTGAGGGACGCAGTGACAGATTATTCTCCAGTTGCTAACCATGATCAAAATCTAAATACAGAGTGAGCATTGACTTAAATTTTCCTCTGCCAAGTCGATTTCAGCTAGGTGCTCCACAAGCTCAGGTGAAATTCACCTGCCTAGTTTCAATATCTAAAGCTGGATGTCTGCCTCTGAGCTAAAGACTCTTTTTAAGTGCCTTCTATAGTCATCATAGAGAAATAGGCACTAGTTGAAGATGATTCATCCCATGTTCAGCTGGGCATCTAAAGCGGGTAAGCTGAATCACCTTTTTCTCTGTAGTTACTATAAGATAAGCCCAGAGCTAGTACTTAGATTTCTCACTCTACAACTAAAATTAGGTAAGATAAATCTCTCCAGAAGAAGCCATTCAGTTATCTAGCTAATAGTATCCAGAACTCCTTTTTAAGCCGAGTAACTTGAGTTGGCCAAAGTTTTCCTCCAAGAAAACATGCAGGATGATTCAAAAGTTCAGGCACTGGAGGATCCCTTGGTTCATTTAATAGGGTGTCCCTGTGATTGACTGCCTTCCGTGATAAAGCCGGTAGCCTTACATCCCATTTTGATTTGCCTGGCTTCACCTTTCAATTATTTCTTGTTTTGGGTTGGGTGTTTGGCTTGTTGTCTTTTGTAGAGGGGTCATACGCTAAAACAAAGTGCTTTATACTACCAGAAATTTTCTTTATGTGAAGTCTTTTGAAAATTACTCTGAATTATGTTTAGATTTCCTCTCTGAGACACTAATGTCAAATTTCAAATTCTAACAGCAAGGCACTTTCTCAAATACTCTTCCTGATTCTCTTCTCTGCCTCGTTACACTTGTAACAGCTTCAGGCAAGAGAAGCAAAGAAAGTATTTTAGTATCTCCTCCTTCAGGAGGACACACACCATTGACCATATTTCTCACTCCCACTTGCAGCTCACCTGCTTGTACCTTTGAAATCTTTGACTTTACGTAGTCATTTTAACTGACCAGGAACTGGCTAGTGACATGCAATGAGTTTATCGCTGACATGTATTTTGCCATAAAAACTAGTTTCTTTTTAAAATATGTTGGCCCTGGTGTCTGGGTCATGTCCATTAAAGTGCTTAGCAAAATAACCTTAGGGATATGGAGAGCACCCTTTTAGCAGTTGAAAGCAGTGCTGGCTTTCATGAAACGTGAAGAATTTGACATGTATTTAAGTACTCCGTGCACTCTATGCTGGAGTTTATGAGAGCCCTGAACGGCACCGGGGTGGGTGCTGCAGGTAGCCAGCTGAAGAACTACCCAGTTGAAGCATACATCGGAACTGTGCTGTAGTGGCAATAACTAGTTGGTGGCAAAAAGTATTACAGAAAGCCTTCTACAGTCAAGTTGGAGGCAGCCTGCCCCACTCTGTAGCGTCTACTTCATGCACCCCAGACAGGCTGTGCTCTGCCTTTAACATGATGAAGGGGAAAGCAACAGGCATAGACCCTCAGCAAACCAGAGAATCTGTCTGGGACGCCTTTATGAAATGAGGCGTTGACAAGTGTGTATGTCTCACACTCCATGTGTAAAGACTAAGATGAATCATTTGTATTATTTGTCTTCTATTTTTATGAGTTCTAAAAAATATCTTCTGTTGACTGTGAATTTGTCCATTTCAGCAAAGCAATTGTGAATAAAGTCCAATTTCACTTTATACAGTTTTTTCAGACATCTCTAATGAAAAATAAAGCATTAAATATATCTGATAAAAAGGAAGAACCAGCAAGTAACCTGCAGAGAAAGCTGCTATGTATATAAGGATTGTTGTCCGAGCAGTTACACAGGGATGCAGGAAATACTTTTACAAGCAAAAGTACCTTCACATTACCGTGAGTGCCTATATAAGCTGTGGGCTGTCAGTACTACCCTGACATAACCAAATAGCAAAAGTCAGCATGCAGCGCTATTCTGTGGATGAAAAGACAACACTGAAATAATGATAATAATAATGTGTTCTAACATGCACGTTATGAGAGTAGATCAGGATAGCATTTAAAAGGAGCATTCTGTGATATGG